GCTGCCGGGCTCGTGGTGCTCCCAGCCCTTCGTCAGCTTCCACCAGATCAACGCCTTCGAGGAGCGCGGCTGCGTGGTGCTGGACCTGTGCTGCCAGGACGAGGGCACCAGCCTGGCCCTGTACACGCTGCAGAACCTCCGCAGGAGTGGGCAAGGGCTGGACCAGGTGAGAGCCCTGCCTCCGCTCCCCCAGCAGCTGCTGCAGGAGTTGATTTTCTGCGGCAAAGCTCAGGTTGGGAGAATAGGAACACTGTGGGGACAGCACAAGCACAGTCCATGAAAAATTAAATTATCATCTCTTGATGCTTTCTCTCTTTTTAAATCTCTCTCCATGGAGCATGCCCTTGAAACTCTTCAAGCCCCGTGTGTGACACAGAGCTCCAGAGCCTGGCAGAATTTATTTCTGTTTTAAAACCTTGGTTTTAATGACATTCATTTTCCCTATCCTTGTGTAATGCAATTTTCCCCCCAGAAATGATGCAAAATAAGTTGTAGCATAACTTCTAAATGGAAAAAGAAAAAGGAACCCCGCTCTTTAAGACATTACTTCATAAAAGGATCAGTTTTTATGAAAATCACAGAAACACAAATACCACAGAAACCCCTGCCCTGTTCCCCACAGACACCTCACAACAGCACATTCAAATAAATTATTTATTGTGCCCAGCTCTGTGAAAAGCCCCGTTTCAGGCTGTGTGAGGGGCATTATTTTGCATAGGTCACACATGGGAAAAGTGGGGCTGCTTTCAGTTTCTCACCATGCAGATGTGTTTGTTGGAAACCCAGCGTGCGGGGGGGGCTGCTGCACGTCCAGACAGGGCTGAACTTCCTCTGTCTGTCCTGAGCTGTCTAGAACCAGCTCAGCTCCGGCCTGAGAGGGGCACAGCTGTGTCCCTTCGGGTTCTGCTTTCTCTTGGCATCTATTCTGGGCGTTTCTCAAGCGTTTTCTGAGCATATTCAAGCACAGCAGATTGTTAATCCCAGCTTTTTATTTTGTCCTCCTCTGAGCACAACCCAGGTGGAGTTGGATGTGGCTGGAGGTGTCCTGGTGTCAGCGCTGGGCCTGTGTTTCCAGCAGGCGCATTCTTCAAGTGACAAGTGGCATCACCAGCACACTTCACCCACGCACACACAGAGGAGTCATTTCAGAACAGAACCTCAAACTTCACTGCAGCAAAAGCCTCAGGAGTGTCTGGGCATGGCTTGTCTCCTTTGCCCAAATTTGCTGGCTCACTAACCCTGGCAGAGTATTCTGTCTGGCAGAGTTCCTCAGCCAGATGACACAAACCAGTAAAGTTTTGAAAACAAGGTTAACACGTAATTAAAGTGAAGTTTCACAGCTGAGCTGGTGGGTTGTGGATTGAAGTAACTGAGACACACCAAAACAGGGTCCTTATCTATTTTACTTAAATGGGAATATGAGGGGTTGTGAACTTGGCTTGAGCAGAGCTTTAGTGGCAGTGGTGGAATTATCCTCTCAATGTGTCTGCCACACTGGGGGCTGCACTTTGCTCCCCAGGTAAACCCACCATCATTCCCTGCACCTCCAACCATGAATCCACAGGTACCTGAGCATGGAGGAGGGAATCCTGCAGGAGAACCTCAGGCACTGAAGGCACAGTGCTCTCCTGCTTCTCCTCAGAGTGATGTGAAGCAACACAAGCCTGTTCTAACTGAATAAAACACAATGCAGTGTCTGTCCCATTGCTGGATTTGGTGATAATGGTTTTTTATTGGGCTGATTTGCATACCCAGCTCAGCATTAATTACTGTGAGAGCAGTGCTGACCCTTTTAATTCATGTGGTTTTGGTTTCTGCTGTAAATTACTGGAACATGCAGGAACTTCTTCTTTCCATTATGTGTTTTACCTTACCAGAACTTGGTCAAACACGTAAGGAAAAGAAGAAGAAGAATTCAGGGGTGTCTAAAACTTCAGAATTGTTCCCTAAAAGTGCATTTAAGCTGAAATGTGTGTCCTCTGTCCATCACCATCACTCTCTGTCTCTCTGACAGGTTTATGCCTCCGTCCCCAGAGCTTTCCCTCGCCGCTTTGTTCTCCCTCTGGATGTGGGTTCAGACACACCCGTGGGGAAAAACCTGAACCCACTGCCTTACACCCAGGCAAAGGCTGTGAAAGGTGCAGATGGCAAGGTGTGTACCAAACCATAAATGCATTTATGCAGCTCCTGGAGCTTTAACCACCTTTGGTAGTGTGATGGTTGGTGGGACCAGCCAGCTCTCCTGCCCTGCCCAGGCTGAACCAACCCTGCACATTTCCTGGAGAAATTACCCTGCAATTTTCTTTTTCTCCCAGGTGTGGTGCACACATGAAAATCTGCACCCTGAGGGCTTTGAGAAAGTCGGGGGCCTGGAGTTCCCCCAGATCAATTACTCTGGGTACAACGGCCGCAGGTACCGCTACTTCTACGGCTGCGGCTTCGGGCACCTGCTCGGAGACTCCCTGATCAAGGTCGATGTGGAGACCAAGAATTTCAAGGTGAGGTGAAGTCAGCTCATCGAGTCCTTCCCCTGAGCTGGATTTGAAGGTGTGACATTTACTGGGGGTTTTTTAGGGCTTTGCCCATATGGGTCTGGGATGAGATTCCCAATGTCATCCCTCACCTGGCACCTTATGAACGTGGCACAGTCACCACACAGGGGAGGATGGCACCAGCACACTCCTGGAATGAAAAAAAAGTTCATAAAAAGTTGAACTCTTAAGTTTCTCGGAGCCCAGAGTATTTCCAGGTGCCTTTGTGGGGAGCATTGTAACTCTGCTCAGTGCAGCAGACAAGTATTAATGCAATGAAACCCATCCATATGTCCCTGAAGCTCATCCATGTGTTCCTGTGCTTGCTAGATCTGGCAGGAGGAGGGAAGCTACCCATCAGAGCCCGTGTTTGTGCCAGTGCCTAATGCCACGGCAGAGGACAGCGGAGTCATCTTGTCTGTGGTGGTCTCCCCTGCTGAGGTAACTTGCTGCCTGCAGTTCGTCAAAGTCACACAGCATTAATTCACTTTTTCAACCTCCCAGCCGAGCTGGAGGCTCCTGGCAGGTGGTTCTTGCTCCCCAGAGTGCCTGGCCGAGCACAGGCAGTGCAGGCAGGAGTTCTCCCCAGGCTCTTGGTGTGTCCCCAGTGGAAGCTCAGAGCTGAGTGAGGCTCAGAGCTCCTGCCCTGCAGGTTTGCTCTCCGTGGTTTGCTCTGTGCCTTTGTGTGCAGACAGTGCGAGAAGTTCAGCCTGGCCACTCGCTCTGCCTCTCTGCTCCTCCTGCAGGACCAAAGTGCTTTCCTGCTCGTGCTGGATGCAGAGACCTTCCAGGAGCTGGGACGAGCAGAGGTCGGGGTGCCAGTGCCTTACGGGTTCCACGGCGTCTTCAGTGCCCACTGAGGAGCTCCTGGGCACCTCCTGGGACTCAGGGCCGGGCCAGCCCCACGAGGAACCTCTGCTGCCTTCACCTCCCACCTTTCCATCGTGTCTGGGATGAAGGAGCTGCTTTTTCTCCACCACAACCTCCTGTACTCCTAACAAAACACAGCCAAGGAAGGCAGGAACCCCTTTGCTCCCACAGCCCACTGCTTTATCTGCATTTTTTTTACTATCTTGCTAGACCAGCTAGAGCAGCAGTTCACAAAGGATGCCAGGGTGAGGCTTGCAAGGCAGAAAATGGAAGCTGAGGTGATAAAACCCTTTCTTTGGTGCCCTGAGGGGAAAAGAACATCAACATTCAGGGCTGTGACTTTGGCTGAAACATTTAGAGCAGAAGAGAGGAGTAAAAGCCAGCAGGTGACAGGTGGGCCCAGTGAGGGGGAATAAATAAATCCCCCCTTGCATCCAGGTTGCCTTCAGGGGGCTCCAGGGGGTAGATGCAGACACTCACAGAAGCTGTGCTCGTGCTTTTTTCTGTACCATAGCAGTGCCCTCCAATAAAACCTTGGGAAGTTTTTCCTTTCTCTGCCTGCCCTCAGAGTCTTGTAGATGTGGGGGACACATCTGCAGAGCAGGACACAGCTCTGCTGGCTGACAGCTCCTGCCTCCCTCCCAGTTCCACCAGTAGGAAACACCAGTGGGAAACACAGAGAGCTCCAGTGTGGCCTTAGTGTCCCTCTGGGGTTGAGCAGAGCAGAACAAACTCCAGCCCCCTGTGTCATCCAGGCTTCTCCAGACCCTCTGGGTGGGTCTACAGTGAGGACTTCTAGTTGTACTTTTTCATTGTGAGGAATTATTTGAATCATTTCCTTAAGTAATAAAGGAGCCCTTTCGCCCTTGGGGCTTTTCCTCCTCTGAGCTTCCTTCACCTTCCTTACAGGTCTGGGGAAAAGAAAAAGGATTTTACCTCAGGGAGAGGCAGAGGAGGCTCAGCCAGAGCTGGTGGAAGCCACTAGATGGCAAACAGCTCCCGTTGCTGCCGTTCAGCAGCCTCCGGTCATTGTCACATCCTGCTGGAGCCTGTCCCCGCGGGACCAGCCCCAGCACGGGCAGCAGAACGGTGCCCAGAGGTGTTTGATGGAGTTCAGCCACCACTGGTTCTCTTTTTTAATTTTGCTTTTTTCTCGTTGAGGTGAGAAACGAAAAGGAGCGTCCCGAGGCCAAACACGGGGGATTGGAGCATCCTGGGGCTGAACAGGGGGAAATTGCAGCATCCTGGGGGTGAACATGGGGGAATTGGAGCATCCCGGGGCTGAACATGGCGGATTGGAGCATCCTGGGGCTGAACATGGGGGATTGGAGCATCCCGAGGCTGAACGGGGGGGGTTTGCAGCATCCTGGGAGCGAACAAGGGGATTGGAGCATCCAGGGGCTGAAAACGGGGAGGAATTGGAGCATCCCCGAGTCCGACATCGGCACCGGGGGATTGGAGCATCCCCGCATCCAGCACCGGCACGGATGGACCGGAGCATCCCCGGGGCCGAACAGGGGGAGGAACTGCAGCATCTCCCGGTGTCGGCGGGCGGATCCCGCGGGCCGGAGCCGCCCCCGGGGCCGGGCTGGAGCCGCCCCGCTCCGGCCCCGCCGCGTCCCCGCGATGTCGCCGCGCTCCGCCCGCCTGGCGCGGCTGTCGCGCTCCGTCACCTTCAGCGCCAGCCACCGCCTGCACAGGTGAGCCCCGCACAGGTGAACCGCACAGGGGAGCCCGCACAGGGAAGCGGCACCGCAGAGGTGAACCCCGCAGAGAGCCCAGCACAGGGGAGTCTCGCATAGGGAGTCCCGCACAGAGCTCCGCATAGGGGGGTCTGCACAGGGAGTCCCGCACAGGGGGTCCCGCACAGAGCCCCGTATAGAGGGGCCCCGCACAGGGAAGCCTGCACAGGGAGCCCCGCATAGGGAACCCCGCACCGGAGGACGCTCCGAGCCCCGCACCGGAGAACGCTCCGAGCCCCGCACCCGAGGACGCTCCGAGCCCCGCACCGGAGGGCGCTCCCAGCCCCGCTGCGTTTCCCGGTTGTGTCCCCGGCCCGGCCCCTTCCCGCAGCCAGCCCTCCGTGCCCGCCTGCAGTTCCGTGTTCTGACAGAGCCGGCGGCGCTTTCGCTTTGTAAACATCGCCCTGCGCCCCCCCCATCTGGTGGTTTTCCCCCCAAACTGATAAATTCCTTGACCTGAAGCTGCCTCAGTTTTAGGATCGGCCTCTTCTCCCAGGCTAGGAGCGGTAGGACGAGGGGAAGCAGCCTCGAGCTGTGCCAGGGGAGGTTTAGGCTGGCTTTTCTCCATGGAAACGGTGGCCGGGCCTTGGAAGGGGCTGCCCGGGGCGTCCCCATCCCTGGAGGTGCCCGAGGAACCCCGGGATGTGGCACTCAGTGCTCTGGCTCTGCTTGGACCCCAGGATCTCACGGTTCTTTCCAACCTCAGTGATCCTGGGGTTCTGTGATGTTCCCAAAATGTGCCTTGACCTGAAGCGCTCAGAGCAGGGCCCTGCATTGCTTCAAAGGGAACATTCAGAGAGAAATCCTTTGGGCTTCTTTGTTAATCAGTGATAAACCCAAATGTGCAGCTTGCTGCAGGCCGAAGGGATTTTGGGCCCAGATGTTGAACATTTATCCAGCAGTGAAACAGACACAAAACCACAGCAGGGAGAGATTCAGTGCTGTCAACAGCATCTTTTCATGGCCCAGACACTCTGTCTGTGTTTGTGCCTCCTGGGCTGGTTAAATGTGGGAGAGGGAAGAGATGGAGAGCTGGAGAGCAGAGCTGAGAGAATCCATGGAGATGTGGAACAGATCCATGCCTGCCTTTCCCACAGCAAATCCCTGAGTGATGAGGAGAACCTGAAGCTCTTTGGGAAGTGCAACAATCCCAATGGCCACGGACACAACTACAAAGGTGGGAAACTGATTTCCATCCTTGCTCAGGGTGGGGAGGGCTGGGCCACTCACTCTCAGCAGCCTGATGCAGCTTTTTTCCTCCTAATTCTTAATAAAAACACAAACCCAGCGGCTGGGTTTGTGTTTTTATTCAGAATTAGGAGGAAGTTTCAGCAGCAGGGGGTTGAACCGTAGCATGGGTTTGCCATTTTTCAGCTGAGTAGATAATAAATATTTATTTTCAAATGCCAGTTTTTGAATCAAGTCTGCTTGTTTACGCGCTGCAGAGTCATTGTGATTGGAATGGAGATTTTTCTAAGCAAGAGCCATGCAAATTAAACAGCCTGTAAACATTATTTGAATGGGTTTTTTCACAAGTTCTCCCATCTGAACACCCCGAGGGCGCAGAATTAGATCTCTCCAGTTCCTGGAGTGGCTCCCTGTGCTGTTGGCACCCTGAAACCTCTGCTGAGGAGCTGCTTTATCCGGGGAGACAGGCTTATCTCCAGCCTGCTGTGGCACCAGCCCTTGGGGAGGGATTTTTGTGCCTCTGAGTCGCTGTTTTTGTGGAGCATCCCCTCATTTTGTAAAAGCAGTCCCACTCCTGAGTGCAGCCCGTGGGTGAGCAGGGCTGTGTGTCCCAGCAGAGCAGCAGATGTGGTTTTGGGTTCATGGGCACCACAGTGACCTGATCTTTTCTGTTTTCCAGTTGTGGTCACCGTGCGTGGAGAGGTGAGTGCTGCCAGCGTCCTTTCCTGTCCCTCAGGGTGGCAGAATCCCCACAGTTCTGGATTTCCCAGAGTATTTCAGAAACTCTGTGCACATCACTAGAGGAGGAGGTTTTCTGTGCCCACTGTCCTGTTCACAACAAGGATTTGCAGTTTAATGCTGTTTTCATGCTTGAAGACTCTTCCAGAGCGTTGTTTCTGCCTGGTGTCAGCTTTTAGGAGAGAGTGGAACCTTTGGAATTGTTTCCAGGCTGTACCAAGCCCTTGGGAGCATCCCAGAAGTGCAGCTGGAGCCCTGTGACAGCGGGGAGATAATTTCCTTGTGGCTCAGATGAGCTGAGCACAGATATTCCTGTCTGGTTTGTGCTGCCACCAATGTCCCTTGTGCTTCCCTGCAGATTGACCCGGTCTCGGGGATGGTGATGAACCTGACAGACCTGAAGGAATACATGCAGGTAAAAATAGCCCAGTTTTCCTCCTAATCCCCTGGGAGAGATGATTAGAGCTTGTCTGGTCCCAGCATGGGGACGTGGAGAGCTGCTGAAGGCAGCGCATCAAAAGGAAATTAGGCAATAATTGAAGAATAAATGCCTTAGCTGTGTTCTGTGAGGCAGAGCCACGTCTCCAGCTGGGAATCTCGCTGCTGCATCTGGGGCTCTTTCCCTTTATTCCTTTATTCCCATCCTGGCTGTGTGGGTTACCTGGGCCTCAGGCCAGGCAGGGACAGGGACAGGGACAGGGACAGGGACAGGGCTGTCACTGTGCTCTCTCTGCAGGCAGCGATCATGGAGCCCCTCGACCACAAAAACCTGGACAAGGACGTGCCCTACTTCTCTGAGGTGGTGAGGTGGGTCAGGGGGCTCCTGGGGGGGCTCATCCTGCCTGGGCAGCAGCAGCAGCAGCATCAGCCTGTACCTGTGTGCTGAGCACACCTGTGTCCAGCCCTGCTGCCCCTCCTACATCAGCCTGGACAGGCAGGACCTGCCCATCCCATCCCATCCCACCCATCCCACCCATCCCATCCCACCCATCCCACCCATCCCATCCCATCCCATCCCATCCCATCCCATCCCATCCTATCCCACCCATCCCACCCATCCCATCCCATCCCATCCCATCCCATCCCACCCATCCCACCCATCCCATCCCATCCCATCCCACCCATCCCATCCCATCCCATCCCATCCCATCCCATCCCACCCATCCCACCCATCCCATCCCATCCCATCCCACCCATCCCATCCCATCCCATCCCATCCCATCCCATCCTATCCCACCCATCCCATCCCATCCCATCCCATCCCATCCCATCCCATCCTATCCCACCCATCCCATCCCACCCATCCCACCCATCCCATCCCATCCCATCCCATCCCATCCCACCCATCCCACCCATCCCATCCCACCCATCCCATCCCATCCCACCCATCCCATCCCATCCCATCCCATCCCATCCCACCCATCCCATCCCACCCATCCCATCCCATCCCATCCCATCCCATCCCACCCATCCCATCCCATCCCATCCCATCCCATCCCATCCCATCCCACCCATCCCACCCATCCCATCCCATCCCATCCCATCCCATCCCATCCCATCCCACCCATCCCACCCATCCCATCCCATCCCATCCCATCCCATCCCATCCCACCCCATGTCCTGGCAGTGCCACCATCCCCACGTGGCACAGGTGTCCCCAGCTGCCCCTCAGCATCCCCCAGCCCACCCTGGCCGCAGATTTTGGTGTCAGTTCTGCCCTCTGAGCCCTGCCCCTGCTGCTGTTCCCCCTCAGCACCACGGAGAACGTGGCTGTGTTCATCTGGGACAGCCTCCAGAAGCTCCTGCCCCAGGGCGTCCTGTACAAGGTGGAGGTGCACGAGACGGGGCAGAACGTGGTGGTTTACAAGGGAGAGGAAACAATTGTCAAGTGAAATCAGCCTGGCCTCAGCTGCTCCGCAGAAATCTCATGATATATTATATCATCTCTGTGGATCCCTGCCCAGCATTTCCTGCAGCCAGCCCTGGTTCTGTGCTTCAGCAGGATGAGGGCAGGTGTTTCACCAGGACCCTCCCATCTGGCTTCTCACAATGGGTTGGTTTCTCTGCTTTTCCTCAAGACCTTCCTGTTTTTCCAGCTGATGTGAGATTTAGAGTTGTGCCGTGGTAAATAAAGCAGCTTTGGGGAGAGGAGGTGGCCTGGCAAAATCACAAAAGTCTTTGATTTCTCTCTGATTAAATATTGAATTAATTTATTTGATAATGTGAGCTTTGGTGTTGCTTTGCTCCTTGATCAAACAGAGAAGCATTTTTGAGGGTGAGGACGACACTATCTTTTCTTTTTTTTGCTTCTTATCAGTTTATTTCCTGTGCTGCAGGCACGTTTCTTCCTGTGGCCAGCAGATCTTTCTCTGTGTGTGGAACTGCTGTGGTGGGCAGTAAAAAAAAAGCGTTTCTGACCCAAACTGGAGAGCCAAAGGGAGCAGGGTGAGAATGGGAAACTGAGGAAACTGCAAGGGGGAATGTCACAGCCCCAGTGCTGGCAGAGCCCTGGGGAGGGAGTGCAAGGATAAACCCTTAAATCAACCCTGAAATCAACCCTTAAATCAACCCTTAAATCCACTCTTAAATCAACCCTTAAATCAACACTTAAATCCACCCTGAAATCAACCCTTAAATCAACCCTTAAATCCACCCTTAAATCAACCCTTAAATCAACCCTGAAATCAACCCTTTAATCAACCCTTCACTCAACCTCCCTGGGAGAGCTTCAGAAAGGGAATTGGGAGAAAAATGAGGGATATTCCCTTTGGAAATTCCAAAAGGGAATTGGGAGAAAAATGAGGGATATTCCCTTTGGAGCTTCAACAGGGAATTGGGAGAAAAATGATGGATATTCCATTTGGAGCTTCAGAAAGGGAATTGGGAGAAAAATGATGGATATTCCATTTGGAGCTTCAACAGGGAATTGGGAGAAAAATGAGGGATATTCCCTTTGTCAGGGCAAAACCTCTGCCCTGGCTGCAGCAGCTTTGGGGATTTTTTTCCTATTTAAAGGCGGTGCTTTGGGGGATATTTGGCTGCAGGTTCCTTGCAGTGTGGGCCGGGCAGGGAGTGCTCAGTGCAATGAACACTCAGCTGCCACATTTGCCCCTTTTCCCTGCTTTTTTCCCTCCCCAAATGTGGAATCAGCAGTTTTTACTCAGCGTGGGGGTTTTGCAGCTGCTGTGACCCCTCCTGCTGCCCTGCAATGGTGTAAATCCAGAGCTGGTGCTGCTGATTCACAGGGCAGTGACTCATGGACACTCAAACACATGATGTGCTCTCTTTATCAGAGCAGGAATCCGCTCAGCTGCTGGCAAAAACCGAGCAAATAAACGTTACATCTGCACAGCACAGCCCACTGCTTTTATTGGCATGGGGGCAGAAAAGGCAGCCCAGACTGCTGAGGATTTCTGCAGCCCTGACAAAGCCCCTGAGTATTTATTTATATTTTTATATATTAAATATATTTTTTTATTTATCTATATATTTTTATATATAAATATATAAAATATATTTTTATATTTATTTTTATATATATTTATATCTAACTTTATATATAAAATATATATTTATATGCAAATTTCTGTAGCCCCATAGCCCTGACAAAGCCCCTGAGTATTTATTTATATTTTTATATGTAAATATATATATTTTATATATTATATATTTATATATATTTATATATATTTTTATATATACATATTATATACATACATACATACATACATACATATATGTGTGTGTGTGTGTGTATATATATATATATATATATATATATATATATGTATGTATATATATATTTGTATTTATTGCTGTGAAGATCGATCTGTGCCAATTATTCTGATTTCTCAGATTTCAATGACTGCAGCTCTGGGGAAATGGGAATAAATTGGGTGCCTGGGCAAGGGGTTTGGGTGAAAGGGGCTGGAAACAGCGGGGCTGGCGTTGAAATTGGGATTTCAGTGGTGTGAAAATTGGGGTTTCAGTGGTGTTAAAATTGAGGTTTCAGTGGTGTGAAAATTGGGATTTTAGTGGTGTGAAAATTGGGATTTCAGTGGTGTTAAAACTGGGGTTTTAGTGGTGTGAAAATTGGGATTTCAGCGGGTGCTGTCCCCTCGTCCTGCTCAGAGGGAGCCCTGCAGGGAATTCTCTGCGGGATTCCAAATTCCCAGCTGAGGGAGGGAGGGAGTGGACTCCCAGAATTAAACATTGAACATTAACCATTAAGCTCTGCCGGAGTTACTGAGTGATGAAATGCTGTGAGGACAGTTCAGGTGACAGAGGGGACAGCCCTGAGAGGCCACAGCTGATCCCAGCAGAGGCTGGAGGAACAGGATTCCAGCTTTGGTGCGTGGAAATGAGAATGGCAGGGAAATAATGACAGGAAATGTCATTTAAAGCCCCCAGTTGTGTTTAGTGGGACTGAAAGACCCAGCCCTGCCTTTCTGCCCCATGCTAAAATCAAATCAGGGTTTGTGGAAGAGCCGGACTCAATAAATAATTTATTTTAACGTGCTGTTGTGAGGTGCCGGTGGGGACAGTGCAGGGGTTTCTGAGGTATTTGTATTTCTGTGATTTTCACCAAAACTGCTCCTTTCCTGAGCTAATGTCAGGCCAGGGGCTGCCTGTGCCAGCAGCTGATGGAGTTCAATGCCTGTGGCACCGTCTGCTCCTGTCAACCAAAAGCAAAGGTTGAGGCCGCCCAGGAAATCTGTCCAACAGCAGCTTTCCTTTTAATTTCATTTATTTTCATTTTTCATTTTTAGTTCAGGGAGGCTTTCCCCAATTCTGCCTCACTGGAGGAGGAAAAAATCTCAATTTTTTCCCTGTTTTTGAAGCGCGGTGGCCAAGGGAGGACAGAGGGTGCAGCTCTGGCATGGAGCTGATCCTGTTCCTGTGACACCTGGGGACATGGAGAGCCCAAAGGGAGCAGCAGAGAGAGAGGAAACTCCACCAAGTTCTGCCACTCCTCGGGCTGGTTTTTACAGCCCATTGTAGCCCAAACAATGCAGGAGTTAATAAATAATCCACATATGGAGGGATGAGAGGCTGCTCCCCTGAGCTCAGCTGCGCCTCCCAGTTCCCCACTGGGATTCCCCTCCTTAAAGTGCTTTTATTTCTCTCCTTAAGGTGCTTTTATTTCTCTCCTTAAGGTGTTTTTATTTCTCTCCTTAAGGTGCTTTTATTTTCCTTCCTTAAGGTGCTTTTATTTTCCCTCCTTTAGGGGCTTTTATTTCCCTCCTTAAAGTGCTTTTATTTCTCTCCTTAAAGTGCTTTTATTTCCCTTCCTTAAGGTGCTTTTGTTTTCCTTCCTTAAGATAAAACATCTTAATTTTCCTCATTAATTTTCCTCCCTTAAAGTGCTTTTATTTCCCTTTTTAAGGTGTTTTTATTTTCCTCCTTAAGATAAAACATCATAATTTTCCTCATTCATTTTCCTCATTAAGATGCTTTTTTTTCCCTCCTTAAGGTGCTTTTATTTCTCTCCTTAAGGTGTTTTTATTTTCCTCCTTAAGATAAAGCATCCTAATTTTCCTCATTAATTTTCCTCATTAAGGTACTTTTTCTCCCCCTCCTTAAAGTGCTTTTATTTCCCTTTTTAGGGCGTTTTTGTTTCCCTCCTAAAGGGGTTTTTTTGGGATTGCTCACTTTTGGGCTGGGCAGTGCCAGCAGAGGGAACTGAATGAGGCCAATAAAGAGCGAAAAACTGGAGAAAAGGAACTGTCTGTGCCCCAGAATTCCCCAAATTTCCTCATTTTCCTCATCCCCAGAGCAGCCCCAGCAATTCCCACCCTGGGTAAAGCTCATTAGGGTGTTTGTTTGTGCCTGGCGCTAATTGGAGCCAATTAATTACCCTGTGCAGAGGGGAGGCCAAAGGGAAACAGAGCGTGGGAGTCTGAAAAATGAGGGGAAAAACTGGGGCTGGGTATTCAGGGGCGTTTTGTGGCTTTTTCCCTGAAATTGTTTGTACACTGCTGTGGAAAATTCAAATTTCTGCTCGTAAATGTACCCAGAAATTCAGTGAATGTGGCAAAGAATTAATAACTCTGTTCCCATAGATTTACCCAGAAATTCAGTGAATGTGGCAAAGCATTAAACAATTCTCTTCCCATAAATACACCTGGAAATTCAGTGAATGTGGCAAAGAATAAAAAAACTTTGTCCCCGTAAATTTACCCAGAAATTCAGTGAATGTGGACAAGAATTAAACAATTCTGTCACTGTAAATTTACCTAAAAATTCAGTGAATGTGGCAAAGAATTAAAAAAACTCTGTCCTTGTAAATTTACCCAGAAATTCAGTGAATGTGGTAAAGGATTAAAAAACTTTGTCCCCATAGATTTACCCAGAAATTCAGTGAATGTGGCAAAAGATTAAATAATTCTGTTCCCATAAATGTACCTGGAAATTCAGTGAATGTGGGCAAGAATGAAACAACTCTGTCCCTGTAAATTTACCCAGAAATTCAGTGAATATGACAAAGGATTAAACAATTCTGTTTCCAGAGATTCACCCATAAATTCAGTGAATGTGGTAAAGGATTCAGCACCTCACCCTGCAGCACTGGGTTTTTGGAGGGATGGAAATGGAGCAAATTTAACCCTCAATGTGGCAGTTTTCCCCTATTTTTTAGGGAAAATAGGGTGTAAAAGGAAATTTTCATTTTTGCTGCTCAATAGAGTAAAAATTAAGCCTAGTTCTTTTTGTGAAATTGAAGTTTTTAGCCTTTGTTTGTGACTTTAGTTTTTAGCGCTTTTTAAAAAAAACGTTTTTTCCCCTATATTTCAGGATTTAGACGAGTTGTAAAAGGAAATGTTCATTTTTGCTGCTCAACAGAGTAAAAATGAATGAAAATGCCTCTGATGAGACTCATGGATGGGCCAAAGCAGCACGTGGGGATAATCTGGGACATGGGAGGTGCCACAGGGACATTTAAATGTAATTTCATATTTATTATCCGAGCCTGTAATCTTAGCAGATAGATGGATCAACAAAGAGATGGGAGCTGAGCCGTAATTTCCAGCACTAATTAGGATT